TCGTCCTCTTCCTCATCCTCATTTCCAGCTAGACGGCCTAATCCCATTACGGCTTGCACCCGCACAGAAGGTTCTTTGTCTCTGATTCGCCTCAGCAGGCCCTGGCGGACGGCACGGTACACATCATCATCGACCGTTTCCAATGAGTTGACGATATGAACGATGGTCTGAGTCGCACGGAAGCGCACGGTTCTGTCCTTTGCAGACATGATCGGAGCAAGGAGAGCGACCAAACTGGCCGTCAAGCGCGCAGTCGGCGTTTCAGGTATACCCTCATCATCGTCGTCCGAGGCGAAGAGCTCCGCGTCTTTCTCCGACGCATGGGTCAAGAAAGTTCCAAGGAATCGCAAGATGCGGTCACCGACGGGTTGAGATTTCTTGATTACCAAAATACGCAGCATGCAGCGACCAATCTCCACATTGAGCTCTTTCTCTGGCAGGGTCTCCTCGGTCGGTAGTATAGGTTCTGGCGCGCTTTGGTCATCCTTCTTGGACTTTCGAGAAATTCCGCAGCATGATTCTTGGAGTTTCCTCAGACGAACAACGAGTTTACGGTGACCAGTGGTCGAGCGCTGGGCATCTGCAAAGAGCGAGCCGACATCGCGACGCAGGCTCGGGACGGCTTCGGGGGCTTCGGGCTCTTCTGGGATGGCGAACGAGGGAGTCGCGGAACCGGCACGTCCTCCTGAGGCTGACGACTGCGCTGACGCCTTGCGTGACGAGCCTGATGTCGAACGGGCGGAAACTCGAGCAGGCATGATGGTGTGATAGTGAGGAGGGGTATGTCGTGAGGAATGTCGCTCAGCGGGTGGGGGTGTTGATAAAATCAAAAACCATTACCAAACAGCGTCATCTATGGTTGGATTTGATATTTTCTCCGTGGAAAGCGGCGATTCCGCGCAGCACTCCCGGGTGTAAGTGGTAGGTGGTGTCGCAGCGGGGATGCGAAATTGAAGTTGCGGCGTTTTTGGCGGAGCGATAGATGATAATAACGAGGTGACAGGACAGTCACGGGGTTGCGCATAAACAAACAGCCCAAACGGGAAATAACCCGATAAGGGCTAGGGCTGCACTCAGTCTCTGCTACTACAGTACTGTAGCGGGGGTAATCTGCCATTTAGATCAATCACGCTCCCCGAAAAGCGATCTATACCAATGTATTATGGCATCTCTCCAGATAATTAAGCATTGTATATCAATATAACGTCATGGTGCTCTTGCGCGTCTCCGCTTCCTATCATGTAACCACTCGATCGCTATCGTCAAGCACGCCATCGCACACGTGACTTGTGATGACTAACGCCGATGATCGGCTCCCCGAACATCGATGATTGTCCATCTATTCTTCCTTCTTTCCCAGACAGTCATTCTAACGGCGTTCTGGGGTGCCTCTGTTGGATTTCAAAATCAAGACAATATGTTCCGTCAAAGTGTTCGGCGATTTGGCACCACAGCCCTCCGTGCCGCAGAGGGCTCGACTGGTTATGCAGTGCGAGTGTCGCAGGCGCAGGGCTATGTCAACGGCCTTACGGAAGGTACGGCACTGGCACCATACCAGGCTCTCCCCCGCAAATGCGAAATTGAACGAACAAGAGGTTGCTGACATGCGTTTCAGCAATCGGAAACACGCCGCTCATCCGCCTGAAGCGCCTCTCCGAGCAGACCGGCTGCAACATCCTCGGCAAAGCCGAGTTCCAGAACCCCGGTGGCAGTGTGAAGGATCGCGCGGCGCTATTCGTGGTCAAGGACGCCGAGGAGAAGGGCTTGCTCAAGCCCGGCGGAACGGTCGTGGAAGGCACCGCAGGCAACACGGGCATTGGGTTGGCGCACGTGTGCCGGTCGAAGGGGTACAAGCTGGTGATCTACATGCCTAACACGCAGTCGCAGGGCAAGATCGATCTGCTGCGGCTGCTGGGTGCGGAGGTGTACCCTGTCCCCGCGGTGGCGTTTGACAACCCGCAGAACTACAACCACCAGGCCCGGAGACACGCCGAGTCGCTCGAGAACGCCGTCTGGACGAACCAGTTCGACAACACCGCCAACCGCCAGGCGCACATTGCCACCACCGGCCCGGAGATTTGGGCCCAGACTGGCGGTAAGGTCGACGCTTTCACCTGTGCGACCGGCACTGGTGGCACCCTGGCGGGTATCACGCGCGCACTGAAGGATGCCAGCGACGGAAAGGTCAAGAGCTTCCTGGCTGACCCGCCGGGCAGTGTGCTGCACAGCTACATCCAGAGTGGAGGCACATTGAAGGAGCGGTCCGGAAGCAGCATCACTGAGGGCATTGGCCAGGGTCGTGTGACGGACAACCTGGCGCCGGATGTTGACCTGCTGGACGGCTCGCTGACCATCGCTGACGAGAAATCCATTGAGATGGTGTACCGCTGCCTGGACGAAGAAGGTCTGTACCTGGGCGCGAGCTCTGCGCTCAACGTTGTCGCCGCGAAGGAAGTCGCGGAGAAGCTCGGCAAGGGTAACACGGTCGTTACCATTCTCTGCGATGGCGCTTATCGGTACGCCGATCGCCTGTTCTCGAACACCTGGCTGCAGAACAAGGGTCTGCGCAATGCCATTCCCAAGCACCTTGAGAAATACATTGTGCTTCCTTAGATAGGGATTGGGCCGTTTTAAGAAGGTTTATAGACGGTTGGACACAACCAATACGGTTACGACAGCTCCCGTACTCATGCCGAACGTTTCAATGTGATCATTACTGTACATAGCAAATTGATTGACTGCATGCGTGCGAGTATGGCGACTCGACTTGATCAGAATCGTAATTATAACCTCGGCACGGATATCGGCTGCGTGGGGGGTTCTCTATACCCGTTATCAACCCCACTGATGCGCCCCGCGCCTCCATGCGGAGTAGTAACTATAGCCTCGAATCCGGGGGTTGACCTGAATACAGGAGCAGAACTTCAATTGCACAATCTACATCAGTACTACCAGAGACAAATCCCAGCATAGTACCAACCTGAACAACAAATTCAAATCTACCACCATCGCCCCAACTAATCCCTCCACAGCCTTCTCTACCAAACCAACCCAAACCAAAGAAAATGACACCAACACGAACCGAAAACCTCGCCAGATGGTGCACGACACTCACATACGACGAGCTCCCCGAGCCAGTCATCCAGCGCACCAAATCCCTCTTCGTCGACTGGATCGGCTGCGTCATCGCCGGCCGACACCACCCCGCCATCGCAGCGATAGCAGCCTTCAGCAAGCAGATGGGACCCGCGTCTGGAAAGAGCGAGATCGTAGATGTCAGTGGGGGGTCAAGCAGTGCTGCGTTTGCGGCGCTTGTGAATGGCGCTGCGTCGCATGTTGTTGAGCAGGATGATTTGCATAATAGTAGTATTGTGCATCCGGTGGGTTTTCCCCTCTTCCACACGTACCGTTCTAGGGAATTGGGGGGGAAGGGTTGACGACATGATGAATGAATGTCGTGGCTGATTTTTGGTAAAGGCAACGGTTGTGTTTCCCACGGCGCTGGCCGTAGCGCAGGAGAAAGGAGCGTCTGGGAAGGAGTTCATCACTGCTTGTGTAGTAGGGTACGAGGTTGCTTGTCGGACGGGGGAGTATCTCGGGAAGACCCATTACCAGGTATGTACTACTTCTATCTTTTGTTTTCGTCCCAGTGTATACAAGTACAGCATGTATAAATCAGAATATCTAGCTAACAGCTAATAGAACTTCCACTCAACCGCAACAGCAGGAACACTCGGCGCCGCAGCAGCAGCAGCAAAGCTCCTCAACCTCGACACAGACAAAATGCTCTCAGCACTGGGCACAGCAGGGACGCAAGCAGCCGGACTATGGCAGTTCCTGCTTGACGCGACACACTCAAAACAAGTGCACACCGGCAAGGCCTGCTTCGACGGGATCTTCGCGGCGTACACAGCGCAGTCGAACCTGCTGGGCCCGCGCGACGTGCTCGAAGGAAAGCGGGGGATGGGAGCCGCGCTCGTCCCATCAGGAGCGACAATTCCAGCAGCAATTGACGCCCTACTGGGGCAGAAATACTCCGTGCTAGAGTCGAGCTTCAAATGGCATGCGTCGTGCCGACACACGCATCCCAGCGTGGACGCGCTGCTGAAGATCGTCGAGACGCATGACGTCCAGATCGGCGATATCGAGAGCGTCGTGGCGCGCATGTATCAAGCTGGGATTAATGTGCTGTCGATGAGTGAGCAGGCTGAGACGGTGCACCAGAGCAAGTTCTCGATGGGGTTTGTGCTGGGTGTGGCGGCTAAGTATCGGCGGGCGTCGATTAATGATTTCACGGAGGAGGCGCTGCGGGATGGGGTGATTAGGGAGTTCCAGACGAGGGTGAAGATGGTGCTGGATGAGCGGATTGATGGGAGGTTTCCGGAGGAGTGGACGGGGTGTGTCACTGTTACGACTAAGGACGGGGATTCCTATACGGAGGAGGTGGATGTGGTTAAGGGTGATCCGGGGGATACGTTGTCTTGGTAGGTCTTGTGCTTTACTGGCTGGTGGAATGGTTATACTGACTGATTATCACAGGTCGGAGTTGGAGTCAAAGGTGGTTACGCTCGCGCATTATGCAGGGCTGACAGATCTGGCGCCAGTCAAGGCCATCATGAAGCGCGTTGCTGGGCTCGAGTCTGAGAGCAATGTGCTGGGGTTCCAATTCTAATTCCCCTGTTCTGTGGTTGCTGTAAAATGCCACTGGAGCCCATGCTAGGCTATACAATAGGTAGATGTCGAAGAATCACTTGTTTGTGCGTACATCTGAATCTAATATGTAACAAGATACTATACAGAAGAGTTGTGAGTCCCATGCGCAAAACAACACAACAAAACCAGCCCTCGAGCCTATTAGTTACAGGGCTGAGAGCCAGAAAGCCAGAGCCAGCCAAAGCAGACCCCGACAGGAAATAAACACCCATAACGCCACAATGATGCCACTTCTATCCCAAAACAAGTCAACGCCGTGCCAATGTATAGTCAGACAATCAACCCCTTTCCACATCTCTTACAGCAATCTTCGCCACCAACCAACCCCATTCATGCAAAGAAAAAGGGTTGGTTCACACCACTCTAGCAGTTCAATCATCCTCCGACGGCATCCGCATATAAGCATCAATAGCAGCACTGAACGCCGCAAAACCAACACACCCAGCGGCCGCAGCCTGAGGCCCAGCCTTGGCGCCCAAAATGCCACCGGTGATGCACCCAGCGCTGACGCTGTTGGTGAGGTCGTTCTTAGCCCGTAGGCCCTCGATGCAGCACTCCGTGCCTGAGTAAAGCGCACCCACGATACCGAAGTTCTTAGCCGAGGACCACGAGCGGGTGCCCATGTCCTTGAAGCCGCGGCGGACTTGCTCCTTCCAGGGGAGGTCCATGATAGCTTTGCCCTGCGGGGTGAAGGAGGAATCGTAGGACATCTATTGTGGAGGCGATTCGTTAGCTGTCTGGCAAAGAGCACATGCGCAGGGAGGTTAGGGGGAGGAGAGAAGACATACACTGGCCATGAACAAGCCGAACACACCACCAAGTGCGAAACCCATACCACCGGCCATCACGGTCTTCACCGGACACGACTCCATGGCGGCTTGCATCTACACATTGTAAGGTTAGCATCCTGTTCGTCAGGGCGGATATAGCAATCCTTTTGACAAAACTAACCGACTTGACCATCATCTGCTCTTGCTCACTCATCCCGGGCATGGCAGCGCCCCCGGCTCCGCCCATGCCCGCGGGCGAGGTCATTCCAGGAAAACTCATGGCGACGTGCGCTGACTATTTGTTTTGTCTTTTCTTTCTTTCTTTTCTTCTTTTGGCGAGTAACTGATTTTCAGCTGTTTTTAGAAAGATCCGGAAGTATTAAAGAGAATTCTCCAGTAAAAAATGCAAAACGCAATCAAGATGGAAAGCTCGCAAAACACAGCGCCAAAGAATGACGAAGCTGGTGATCTCCGGGGGTTCTGCGGAGATGGGCGAATTTGTCGCAATTTTATTTACAGCGGGCCGGACGGACCATAGACGCAGAATGGCACGTGACATCCCGGAGGATTCTCGGGACGACACCGATATCGCCACCAATCCTACTATAACCACCGAATCGATCGCATACGGAGAAATTGTCCTGGTGGCTTTCTAGGCCGCAGTAGATTTGAAAAGAAATAAGGTTTTTCGGTTGAAGATTTCTCACTGAACTACACTTAAATATACATTCCAGAATGTTGTAAACATCCAAGTCATCGAAGAGAAAAGTAAAAAGTAAATCAGACCAAAAACAAGTAAAAGGGACATCAAGGATCGTAAGGGTAAAGTAGCCAAAAGCGTGATCATAAAGGGTATTCGGATCAACGATCATAAACCCTGCGTTATTCCGTACTGTCTCATGTCCAGGAAAATCCGGTCACCAAGAAATGAAAAAAAGGTAGATCGTGTAGGCTTCTCGGGTGCATATATTTACAGTAGCACCGAGAGCCGATATAAAAATGCGCTAAAATGGTCGTAGCAGGGAAAGAAAGGAAGCGTAGACTCTAGTCGTTCTTGTGGTCCTTATCGAGTGAAGGGCTCCTCTCGTGCCTTCTTTCCGGAGATTGCGAGAGACTGCGCTCCCACTCCGCCATCAGGTTCGAAGCGGTGCGGGTGAGCTTCGAGGGCGCCAGCTTCGTGATGGCGGGCCAGGGGATCCCATCGGAACCATTGGGATCGGACATGTTCACATCCTGGGTGGCGCGCCAATCGCCCAAGCTAGACAAATCAGCATCTCGGTCGACACGGCCCGGAATTGCATAGGCGCACAAATACCAAAAACTTACCTCGTGCTAGTCCGGGGACTGCTGTTCTGCGTCGTCGGTGACCGGTCGTGCTTCGAGGCCAAGGTGGAGTGGCTGGATGATGGGGTGTGCGTCTTCTTCGGCTGCGGCGATTCCCAATCGTCCCAGTTATCATCAACGTCGGGTGGATTGGACGCGTCGGGGTCGGTCGTGCCGCCTTGGTTGTTGGACGCTTCTTGTGCTCTCGGGGACGTCTGCCCAGGGGTATCAATGCCGAATTCACTCCAGAACAACATATCTAGGTCCACCGATTTCGAGTCTTTACCGGAAAGTTTCGCCCCTGCCCCCTTGCTTTGTGACGTCGAGGACGACCGTGACGACCGGTCTCCCTGGACCGACAACCGGTCTCTGCTCCGTGACTTCGAGCTGGACGACCGCATGGTTCTCGTTTCGGTCGCGTTGATTCCCTCTTCCCCGACGGTCGCCTGTCGGATGTCTTCCAAGAATGTCCAAAGTCCCTCCCTCAGGTCGGACGCCATCTGCTTGCCCGTTCGCATGAGCATATCCCGCGACGGGGGAGGCAAGGTCTGTCCCCACTGCGACATCGCGTCCTGGGCCTGTTTATCACCCATCGCTACAGGCATGCGTTCAAGAGATGGCAAGGTCGCAGACCGCGGAGGCCGACCCATCCGCTCCGCCTCTGCGTGGCCCCTGGGTGATTCAGATCCAGGCGGTTTACCGCTGGTAGGGCCCGAGCCGGCGGAGAGTAGAGACAAAGTTCGCGCGTGCGACCCCTGGAACACCCGCCGTCCATTCGATGAGATGGTAGTGCCCTTGTTCGTCGCCGAGCGAAGGCTCTGACGGCGCTCCAGCTCCCGGCTGAGCCTCGCCTGGGTCGCGGATGGACTGTCGACACTCCCTCCGCTGCGTTCCCGGTTATGTTGGGCGAGCGGATCGCCGGTCGCCGCCTGGTCGGGCGTTTTCAGCGGCACCAGCGGCTCCGCGCGGTAGTTGATCTCCGTGCGTTTCTTGGACTTCTCCGACTGTGCCCACTGCTTCTTCAAAGAGTCCAGCTCGGTTTCCGCTCGCTGCAGCTCCTCCTTGAGTTCCAGGACCTTCCGTTCTTGGGAGGCGATGGCGGTCAAGATCCCCGATCCATCATCCTTATCATCCAAGCCCAGCGGCGGGCTGCCGACGGGCACCGGCGACTGGTGGGCGGACGAACGACCGATCGGCGTCATCGATCCGGGAGACGCAGAACTCGGTTCTGAGAGCAAATCCGGGGGGATGCTGATGGGAAAGTTCAAGGTCAACCTCTTACTGTGACGAGCGGCGGCGTGAGGGCGAGCAGGAAGAGACGATCGCTTCTGTCGGCGAAGCTCGCGGCTTTGAAGATCATTGGAGAGATCATTGGACGGTGGCGGATGATTCGGGGCGTCATGGTTCTGGTTCTGGTTCTGGTCAGGTGAAGGCGACTTGGATGGCTGGAACGCTTCCGGCGCAGTTCCCGGCTCGCCCGTTCCCGGGGGATCCCCCATGACGGACCAAGGGTTCACTGGTCGAGGGAGACGAAGAGGTTAATGGGTAACAACATTCAACTCCATACAAGAAATGGGGGAAGTAAAATGCCAATGGTCGAGGATGGGGAAAAGAAGAAGAAGAAGAAGAAGGCCGTCAGGGGGGTCAAAATAAAAGAAAGGAATGTAGTCGAGAGCGGCAGAGAAGAGGAGACAGCGAAGAAATTAAACAATCTGGGCCAGGAGACGCATCACTGAACTAGACGACAAACAGGTTAGTCCTCATTCCTGACCTCTTCCGTCTTCGAGATAGCTTCCGTCTCCCCGCCTAGAAGGGTCAAAGGGTAATTAATACCGTAGTAATAACCTAGAAGAGCCGGTAAGGGCCGTTTAATTGACGAAGGAGGAGCGATGGGGAGAGAGGATTCTGCTGACGGAGCGGGTCGAGCGCGAATCACTTCCGCCTCCAGTTTCTGGCCGGCCTTTTCAGGGGCACGATCTGCTCACCTCCGTTTCATGGCGGGCTTTCTTGATTTTATTTGAGATTGTTGATTATTATCAGTTTGATGAGTCGATGACTCGGAATTGTTGATGCTAATTATAATCCCACCGGACGATCCATCTTTAAGATGATTGATTGCATATTCCTTGCAGGATCATGGATGATCCCCTCAACGCGATCGGAATAGTTCGTGGTAGTATGACTGACTTAGATGCGATGCCGCTCGGAGATTTTCATGGTTGCTGGGAACAATCCTTGCCCAAAATGGGGAATGGAGTTCTCTCGGCGTTGCTAGGTCGGTTATGGAAGGAGTGCCAGTACTATAGAGCAGACAACATACAATGTGGTTGCACCGAGTGAGAACCCCCTGCTTGACCGCTAGACCTTAAACCGAGTCAGGTCTGTCTGCAGGTGGTTGACAGCCGCACATGGGATACCTCGTGGTGGATCACCAGCCCTATCTGACAGGGTAGTAGGGATGTCAATCATCGATTATATAACGGCCGTACATGGACTGAGGTTGATAGTGCCGAGTTGCTACTATTGCCATAGGCAATATACGGAAAATAGCAGGGGTGGCATGTTTAAAGCATCCTCCTACTACCAAGAGCATAGCTATCTTGGAAATTATCGTCCAACCAAGGGGCTCGCAGGACTATCCTGCATCATCAATCTGCCTCGATCTATGTCCGTACACACACATTCATACAAGAAGTAGATCATGATAATTACACGACTATCCCAGCCAATATTCGCAATGGGGGATGAAAAAGGAAATGTACAGGAGACAAATCTATCAACAAAAGAAAAGCAGAGCCCTTAACAGCAATCCATCACAAATAGAGTCAAATGCAAACTCCAGAACCGGGTCCTCGCGAAAGATATCACAGCATGGAAAAGAGAGGGGCCAGTAACGGCTGTCATGCTATGCTGTTGGCAGAGAGGGAATCAACCATGGGGTGCCAGTAAGTAACCAACACCAAAACAAAGACGCAAAAAAGCGAACGTATAGGAATCCTATCAGGTGCATCAAAAAACAGTCAAGCGAGCGCTAGTAAACAATCAAAAGCTGAAAAGGACAGAAAACGAGTGCAAATCAAGGGCGGGGAACATAGTACAAAGAACGCCACATAGACCATTTATACAGCGAATGGAAGAAAAGGAATGTGGGAAAGAGGAAAAGGAGAGCAATGCTCTTCACCAAGTGGAAGTGTCATTCAAAGCCCAGCCCAGCGGTTGCGAAGGCCTTCGGACCAACGTTGGTAGAGGACATCCGACAGCTGCTTGGTGTGCTCCATTCCAGGAACTTGCTGGCCCGGTAGGCTGGTGAGCTGCGCCGGCTGCAGGTTAGGCTCAACCGTAGCTGTCGACTGCCGCCGTTTGTGGCTTTTCAGGTGTGGGTTGTTTTGTGCCAAAATTAATCGAGGCTTTTGTGGAGATTCGGGTGGTGGAGCTTGTGGAACGAGACCTGACAGCTTGGTGTCACTGAACCAAGAGTCGTTAGCAAATCGTTAGGAACAGATGGTTGGAGAAGAGGACAGGAGCGCTAATGGAGGAAACCGGTAGAAAACCAGAAAAATGGAACAGAGAAGGGAAAACAGAAAAGGAACCACTTACGCTTGAAGCTTCTCATTGGTGACCCTGAGGATATGGAAAAGTCCTTCGGGGTCCACCATTTCCAGGTCACTCCAAGCTTCTGCCAGCCGCGAGATCGCCTCGCGCTTGTCTTGATCCCCAGTTGTCCCCAGAACTTCTTGGCAAGCCATCCCTACAGCTTTGCTGTATGCCCGACGGCCTAGGGACGCCTCTTTACTGTTCGTCTCGGTGGACATGGCGCTGGGACTAGCATTCTCCCCATTGCTGGAAGAATATGGAGGCGAATAGTGACTGTCAGTTGCGTTCAGCGGTGCCTTGTCGGAAACGCGACGGAATGGGCGGACTGCCGATGGACTATTGCCGAAGGTCAAGTCAACTCCGAGGGGCTGTTTAAAACCGCTGGATCGTCGCTTTTTTTGAGGTCGCTTGCTCGAAGGGATCCGTTCGGGAGCCGGAATGCGCCGCACTGTCGAGTTCGGAACCTGCTTAGGTGCAACGGGCGGGCTGTTGGAGATGTGCAAGCTTCCCATCATCTCGGAAGCTTCGGAGGTCTCGTCGTATACAGGATTTTGGCTTTCTGGCTCACAGAATATGTCTTCCGGGTCCTCGGCTATCTTCATTGTCGGTGCTCTAACGGTGTCGAAAACCCAATCGTCATCGTCCTGCAAGTTGGTCATCGTGTTCCTGTCAAAGTTGTTTTGTTAGTCGACATCTCAACATTGAAATGGTCTAGGAACACGCACAGGGATTCGGCATAGTATTTGACATTGCGGCTCACGCCTCGTCCTGCATCCCAGTCTTGCTTCCGCTGGATAAGTTCCTGTAACGCCTCAGTCTTCCCCGCATTGCGAATAAATTTGTGCCTCAAGAGCTCCTTCGCGCTGGGTCTCCGGTCGGGGTCCTTCGTCAAGCACTGCGAGATGAAATCCTTGAAGGCACTACTGTATTCGTTGCCTTCCAACCGAGGGGCGGGTTCCTTGGGAATCAAAAAAAGCACCTTCATCGGGTGGGTACTCGCATGCGGAGGTTCCCCATTAATGATTTCAATGGCAGTGATTCCTAGCGACCAAATATCTGCTTTATAATCGTATCCAGCCTGCTGGATTACTTCTGGTGCCATCCAGAACGGGGTCCCAACAAAGGTATTTCGCTGTGATTTGATATTCACCAGTTGTGCCGCCACTCCAAAGTCCGCAAGCTTCACTTTCCCGGTGTGCGAGAGGAGTACGTTGGCTGCCTTAACGTCCCGATGGATTTTGCCTTCGCTATGCAAGTATTCAAGGCCTTGTAGCAGCTGTTGGCAGATGATCGCGACATGGGCCTCGTTAAAGACCCCCGGTTTCAGCTGTATCCGCATTAGCGATGGATCCTGCATCAGACAGGTCGGTTTTTTGCTACCAGATCGAGACACGATCCTCCGCCCAGATACTCCATGACAATCCATAATTTGTGTCCTCGAAGAAAGCTCGCTTTGTACTGTGTCACGTATTGACTAGCGCATGTGGCCAAAACGGAGATCTCTTGTTGAATCTCTTGGATATCATCTTCGCTCGACTCGAGATCGATCTAGTCATGTGCTCTAGAGTCAGTCTTATTGCTTTTTTTCCAAACCGGATTACATATCGCGTTCACATACGTGTTTCACTGCAACAATCTCCCCCGTCGCTTTCTCAATGGCTTTATATACCGTGCCAAAGCTCCCACCTGCAGCGGTCGTTCGCATCAGTTCTTGTAATCGACCACGATCTCAATATATCGAACTCACTTCCCAACTCCTCTAGCATCTGGTAGTGATTTGCCATATCGTCCGCCATGGTTCGCGCGAGATCGGAGTCGCCTATCCAACTGTCCTTCAAGGGCGATGCAAAAATGAGAAATGAAAGCAAAAATACAAGCGACAGCCCGCGCAGCCAGCCAGCTAGCTATGACCAAACAGTCAACCTTTTAAGCTGAGCTGGATAAGTCGCATGAAGCGACTTTTTGGCAATCGGGGATAGATCTGTAGAGTGGAAACAGTGGGTGAACCCGAATACTAACAGATCGCATCCGATGGTCGAATCCGCACTTTCCCATGGTTCGCGGGAAACAACAGGCCGTAGCGCATGGCAACCGATCGAGTCTGTGCGAGCCAAGTCCCACCCACGCAGGGGCCGATGCTTATGTCATCTTTACTGCCTCAGGCAAGTATTTCTTTTCATACCACTGACGTTCTACAGATACTCTTTCCTTGAGTCTATTCCCTCGGAGAATCACATCTACTCAGGAGATTATAAAACAAGATGTTTGCTCTGACGCACATGATTTGGCGTTAGGTGTTATCTTCAACACCCCCAACTAGGCAGCGAGTATAGGATGGAAAAGGAGGCCTGACGAGGCTGACACGTGTTATGACGACGAATTATCTTTCATATAACTGTGTGGAAATCTACTCTGGAACTCACAGATCAAGAAATACAATAGTATTGAATACGTGTGACATAAAATGGCTACAATTACAGACAAGCATCCCCAAACAACATCTACAGCTATCCTCCACTCACAGCAAGCGCCGACCAGACGCCCACGGGCACTTACCATCCCTCTACCGGAAGGCAGAAATGAAACTCAGGTAATTCAAAAAGTGATAGCTCATCAGCAGCCAGAACCGCCTACTAGTTTTATGGGAAATATCTTTCAACGTAATCAGAAAGCAAAGTGTGAACCCAGCATCTCATTCGTTGTCACGACGGTGGTCCAACAGACATACGATCAACAACAGTCGCCTTTATGTCGTATTCCATACGATGTCCGGCTGAAGATCTGGGAAGATTGTTTAAGTGGCTACCGCTGGCATATCGGTTGCGAGCCTACCAAACTCCGACTTTTGGGTCTCGAATGCAATGGTTGTCATCTGTCGACGGACCTTCACCGCCGAATCGATCCGGATATGAATGGGCGAACTCTGAGAAGCAGGCTGAAGGCCGTTGGCCGGCTGTCATTGCTGCAAGTGTGTCGGATGGTGTAAGTTAACACCCATACGCCTGTCTATGCATGAAATGGTCGCCGGACTCCATTGACGAATGCAGGTACTCTGAGACTGTCCCTCTACTATACAAAGACAACGTCTTCGACTTTAATGATATCAAAGACGTGAGATCGATGTCGTACTCGGTGCCCTCGTCACGGTTTAATCTCATTCGCACTTTAAAATTGGATTGGACGATCACAAGAATGTCCCGACGAGATCCATGCAAAGCCTTACTTTGCCAATACAACTTTTGGGTGAACGACTGTGCGGTTCTGGCAAATATGAAGGGTCTGACCGAGTTGTATCTGTGTCTTCACGGACAGCAGTTCAAACAACAAGGCAGCGAGCTGGATGCTGTATTTTCACCGTTGGGCATGATTCCAGCTAAGATGTTTGAATTGTGGCTGCCGGATACTACCAGATGGGAAGAAGAAGACATCCCGTCTGAGCTATCTTCTCGACCGACATTCAAAATCCGCTTACTTCCCTATGATAAGTTGGTTCCCCCGCCTGGGACTCCAAGTAGTTGTGCGGATGGCACACTTCGAGATACCTGTCTTCTCGATTCATTGGTCATTGAATAATTTCATTGGCTGCACCTCGCTAATCTCTAAGGATCAACATGATGAGCCCCGCCAGTATTATACTTTCGGGAATTTCTTCGATAGTGATCAGATTTTCTCCCGGTCCAAATTCGCCCTTTGGACAAGACATGGACAATGTAACACATTAAATGTCACGCCAGTTGGTTTTCCAGTCTAAAGACAACCCGTATATCTGTACCTCTTTGGCTGATGGGGGCTGAGATCCATGTCTAGGAACATGGTCCTTTCTTCAAGCGGCGTGTGTAGGACACTTAATGAGAAGGCCGACGGCTATGGCACAGGTGGAGCAATCAATACTATCTACATCAAGCGTCTCAATGATGCCATGGAGGACAATGACCCGTTGAGAACGGACAATCCCACCGAATATCTTTTTCTTGGGAATACCAGGCCAATCTCCGATCCCACCGTTCGCACGCCCTGGACACGCGACATACGCTACACTGTATACCGTAACATGGAGTCAGTCCAAGACGAGTCCCCCAACGCAACCAATGACCAGATCAGGGCACTACTGGCCAGGGTCGAGCGAGATCCCGCTATCCCCGACAATCCTGAGACTGAAGTAACTATCTGCCGAGAGCTGGGCAGACTGGTCACGCAGCACACGACAAACTCGGAAGGCATGGGCGTTGAACAAATCACCAGGATTGTCGTCGATTCTTTGATGGCTGTCGAATCTGAGACCGGGTACGCCGCAGTCTTGGGCTAGAGATCAGCTTGGCGGAGACATCTAAAGCAGGCACCGCTGGAGTACTTGCTACCATCGCCACTGAGCACCTTCGAGCCAAGTACCATGCAAGCGGCCGAGACAAGGTGTGTTAGATCTGACATAACTCATAGTGGAGTTCCTTTATCAAAGATAGTAGCTCTTTGTTGGCTTGGGAAATCTCGGGCCAATTGCAGCTTATATAGCTGAGCAGTCGGAGACAGTAAGCCTCGCCCCGTGCGACTCTGCAGCCAGCCGTTGGTGTTACTCGACCTCGTAGCTGTGGCTGTGGGCGATGTCTCAGGACATGTGATTGTTCTGGAATTGTGGCATTTTCCATGCATACACTCAAGGAGTATGATAAAACGAATTCCTGTTTTGGCGACGACGTATGTAATTTATCACTAACTCTGTATCGTGCATGGCTCACTCATAACCCTGCGTGTCTATTACGTCTTCTAAATACGGGATCTATCTCGTGATCACAGGAAGCTCCTTCACTGCATGCTACAGGACACTATATAATATTGGCAATTGAGATTTTTTTGGGCAAAACTAGCTCTGATTGAGAGCGAGAAAATAATGTATATGTCTTCATTATGAGAACTGTGCTTCATAAGTTATTTCTCATATGCAAGAGTCTACCTACCGACCAATTTGATAATATACCAAAATGGGATCTTTGCGCGCGGTCGGATTGTGGAGGAGTTGAAAGCGTTAAGGCGAACTCTATCTATATGAACCCTAAAGTCCTCCTTCTACCTATGGCTGAGTGCCTTGGCATCTTTCCAGTTTCGGTCTTCATGGCCTAGATACTAATCCCATACCGATTATGAGAACTTGTATACTTATGGAAGCTGAGTGTAAACACAAAGATTTTATTCAATTCCTATTCTATCCACGATTTCCCTGGTTCTGCTATCAGACTACGCTGACTAGGTGGCCGTCAAATCAAATTCTGGCCAGTTGGCAGATCACTAGCGAGCCCATGAAGGGCAACGAGGGATCGTCAGGCACGCTGATTGCTCTCAGAAAACAACCACCCTTTCCTACAAGACGACCTGTATATGTAGTTTAATGTCGCACTGGATATAAGATAACTTATGTCCCAAAAGTGCTGTGACACTCGGTTATTCAATCGTAGTTGCTGTCTTAGCGTGTCATGATATCAACCCCTCACCGGTGGGGTTGACTATCTCTCTTAAGCAGCAGTTTTAAAGCATCATTTCGTTTGCTCCATCTCCACCAGATAATCACTCTCATTATCAACCCGCGGAGGTTTCCCATTACTCAGTGACCACACCACCCGATCCGGTTTTGGTCTCGGCGTTCCCAACCTTGAAACGTAGGCCCAGAAGAACGGCTGTTACGTCACTACCGGGACCCGCAGCAAAGCTCAAATTCAGTAAAAGCAGAGCTCCCCCTCCACACCATGTCCTCCGAAGAAACATACCCCGAAATCATGTCAAGCATCGCTTTAGTCACCGGAGCGACCGGTCTTTTGGGCCGACAAGTACTTAACACCTTCAAGCATTCGGGGTGTCTGGCTGTTGGCCAGGGTTACTCCAGAGCTAACCCACCGACCATCCTCAAGGTTGATCTCGGAAAGCCGGAGGAGATCAAGGCTATGCTGGATGATGCGAAGTAAGTAGTTTTATTTGGCTCATATCACCTCCGGCCTGTCTGTGTCTGCGAGGATATGGAGAGTCGTTATTGTTTCTTGCTTGCCGTGCTCTTCCGTGCTAACCATGTACCCTCCAGGCCTCAGATTGTCATCCACTGTACGTCGAGACTACTTCTCAGCTCAATGCATAATAATGTTTACTAATGCGATGGAATTGAAGGCGCCGCGGACCGCTCGCCCGATTCGTGCGAAAAGAACCCCGAGCTCGCCCGCCGCATTAACGTCGACGCCACTCGTGTCCTCGCCGAAGAGACGTCGGCCCGGGGAGCTTTCCTGCTGTATATCTCGACGGACTACGTTTTCCCGGGAACCGAAGGAGATGCACCCTACGAAGCTGATGCGGAAACGAAGCCGCCGAATCTTTACGGGCAGCTGAAGCGGGATGGGGAGATCGCCGTCCTGGAAGCGACCAAAGAGACGGGGCTGGGTGTCGTTCTGCGCGTGCCGGTGTTGTACGGCGCCGCCAAGGATAACTCCGAGAGTGCGGTGAACACGCTGATCGACACGATCGAGAAGGCCCAGGATGAAAACGCGGGCATCAAGATGGACGACTGGGCGCAGCGCTACCCCACCAACACGGAGGATGTCGCCCGAATCTGCCGCGATATCGTGATCAAATACCTCAAGGCCGTCAAGGAGAAACGGACGACCAAACATCTGCCCAAGATCCTCCAGTTCTCGTCCGAAGACCGAATGACCAAGTACGAGATCTGCGAGAAACTGGCCGAGGTGCTGGGTTTGTCGCTTGTCGGGATGGTCCGAAACAAAGAAGGCAACGATCCGAATGCGTCCGTGCAACGGCCGTACGATACCCACCTCTCGACCAAGGGGCTCAAAGACATGGGGATTGATGTACGAACAGTGAATTTCGTGACATGGTGGTAAGTTTCCTCCTGCGAGTGACTTGGCGCTGCATGGTGGGCGGGGGAGGCTAATGTAGGAATACAGGAAAAAACACTTGGGAGCGTACAAGAAATAAAACGCAAAACTGGGTGAATCGCCACAGCACCCATGGAAGGGACAATACTAGACAGGGCAACAGAAGTTGATCATCGATGTTGCTATCGATACACAGTTTACACACCTACCAACGAATTGAATAATGGGCCAGAATAATCATTCCATTTTCTCTCCCCCACGTCCTGGCTTAGCCACTTATCATAAGCTCCAACGGAAAGCATAAATTGACTTGGTGGCATTGTCTGAGAGGTGGGTACTCAACCGGCGTGGCGCGTGGCTTGTGGCTTGTGTATATCGACTTGACCCCTTTTGGTTCTTTATATTATTTTATTATCCCTTGTTATATGGCTATATCCTATGATATTTTGTTCATGGAAAAGACGGGTGGTTATAGCCCCACTGGACGCTTCGAGGCTGGTGTATTTAGTCAACCCTGGTAATCAGACTAACGAAATGAATGGGATGCAGGAATGGATCTCACCAAGACTTGGCGCTAACTAAATCCTACCAACTTACTTCCCTTAGTGTTTGTTGTATCTGGATCGCACGCCACTTAGGTTGGTCGCAATTCGCAAGTCTGGCGGTTAAGCAGGTTTTCTCTTCCCCGGAATCCTCTCCCGGATTGGACCGGAGTCGGTCTGGACAATTTCTCTAGAGTCTTGAGTCTTGACCCTGTCTCATCATACTTGCCCATAAATTAGTTAAATTCCACTACGCCCGCTCCCAAATGCTTTAAAAGGAAGTAAAAAAAAAATTCCCAACCGAATTCTCTCACCCCCTTGCCTGGATCCAGGTGCAGTTGCTGCAGCCTCCCTTTCTGTCGCTGCACGGCGCAGTTGCAAGAATCAAACTCCCTTTCGTTCCATTACACAACAGATCTCCACTCCTTACTAGTCTGTTCACCACTGGTCGACGTCTCCGCACATTCCATTCAGCCCTGGTCAAGAGCTGTCGTTGTTCGACGCATTATATCCCTTGGTTGGGCTTGGCTTCCGGATCTGACCAGAGAGAATGAAGTGATTAAACGCCAGTGAAACATACCTGCAGGCTTTAGGGGGGGGGTGGAGAATACGAAGGCCCGTCGTTATTTCTATCCAATCTTTCCGCTCTCGTTGTTTGTTGGTGGCGACGAACAACGAGCCAGCGATCCCATTTATTTGCTGTGCACCCTCGACGAGATTGGGTAGCGTGGGATATACTGGAAAGTCGAACCTGATTAGGCGCGACGTGGACCAGTGGGGAGATTTTTTGCTCAAATACACCCCCCTTACTGTGCTACAACTATACGGGATTGTTTGAAAACGGCGCGCCTCGCGTTACCATGCTTTTGGTACCTTGATGAATATCACCGTTGAAAGGACAGCATCAAGATGGCCAGCGAGAAACAGGACAGTGTGGGTGGCAGCCAGGGTGGTGGCCCCATGAAATTTTCCCGCTACCGGTCCGTGAGAAAAGCCGCCAAACAGCCACCGGTCTCTCGTGCTCCTAGCGCCGCGGGCTCAGGAGCCCATGCGCCCGTCCCTCAGGATGATTTCGCGACCGCATTGGCCTCGAACACCACCATTAAGAGAAGTATGTCGCGATATCGGCGTCCGAGAACATCCACATCGCAATCGACTCCCGATCCACCGCCTCCCCTTCCGACCCCCGCCGATCGAACGCGAGATCCTGCGCACCAGGAACGTCCCCGTGGTGACACCGTTGACTCACCAGTCCGCCGGCGCTCTGCAGGACGTAGCGACGGCGTGGGATCCAGAATTCCTGCAGACAACAGGACTGATTCGAGATCGGCCACTGAGGAGAGACCGTACCGTGGTGGGGACCACAATAGGGCCCGCGCTAATAATGGCGATCATTCTGCAACCGCTCGCGATCTGCACCGACAAAATGCGATGGATTGTTTGACTGGAGGGGATCAAAATTTCTCGGCGTCCACTTCGGCGTTTCAGAGACCAACGGTGCGAGTGAGGACTCGTAAGAATACAGAGAGCGAAAACGAGCCCGATGACGATCGCAACCATGATTGGACTCGGTCCAGGCCGTCGAGTCAAGAGATTAAAGCGGGTCGACGACGGTCGAAGATTCAACAACCAACACCGCCATCGAGGAAGCCACCAGTTGCTCTCCCAAATGATCAAAGTGACAGCGATGCCGCGTTTAACAGCCCGGTCGAATCTGGCGCCTTGAATCGGTTTCCAGGCATCGATGCGCCCGTGTCTGCCGTGAATTCCGGCGAACGAGCAGTCCATGTCCAATTCAAGAAACATACTTTCATACTGAATGTGGTCCCATCCACATCGGCCCAGGACCTTTTGCTCTCCGCTGCAGAAGTTTTGGATGGCCAGATCGACCCTCATAAATACATACTGGTAGAGTCCTTCCGAGAGCTTGGGCTGGAGCGACCGCTACGCAGATACGAGTATATCCGAGACGTCATGAACTCTTGGGCAAGTGATGGAGAGAATAGGTTGATCATCGTTCCTCCCGCCAGCCTCGATGCCTTGTCTATGCTCGAGTCTCAAAATGTCTCGTCTGAACCACCTGCGGACGTGACCGTCCAGATGTGCTACTCCCAACGCCCGCGCAAGTGGGACAAACGCTACGTGACCTTACGGTCGGATGGGCAGATCACTGTCTCCAAGAAGGAGCGGAGCCAAGATCAAACCAACACCTGCCATCTGTCCGATTTTGACATGTACTCGCTCACATCAAGTTACTATGCGGACAGCGTGAGGCCGCCGAAAAAGGTCTGCCAGGCAGTGAAAAGCCAGCAGAAGTCAAGCATGTTCCTGACCACCGAGAACTTCGTGCATTTCTTCTCGACTAACCACAAAGATATCGCCGAGACCTGGTACAAGGCGGTTCAAGCCTGGCGCAGCTGGTATCTAGTGACCAAACTATGCGCTGGTAGGCCGGAAGAAAAACGGCAATCCCAGATCGACACGGATGACGCCCGAAGTGGAGTGAAGTCGCCCCCGAAGCCACTGATGAACCCGTTCGAGAGCTCTGACGAAGGAATGACCTCGTCTTCGTCTCAAGATCCGTCGAAAGCAACAACATCTAAACAGTTGTTCTCGCGCAAGAAGAGCACTCGGGGCCACGGACCACCTCCCTGTTCTCTCCCAAAGTCGCTCGCGACAGATGCCGACGCGCCATTATCTCAGGTATCTGAAGCGGCCCCTTTCACGTCTTCGGGCCTGTTGGGCCGAACCTATACGGTCCGCCAACGGGCCATGAAAGAGCGGGAAGAGCAAGAAAGGAGGGCGAATGAGGAAGCGTTTACTCAAGGCCTTGTCGGGGCCATGACCTCCCGCCCGTCGCACAACCCCACCACCGGACCCAACAGCCGGTCCAATACGATGACGTCGACACATGCTCCCGATCATGCGAGTCTCATGAAACGTTCCCAGTCTGTCAAGAGCAAGCCGCTAGTCGACTTGACGCCAGTCTATCAAGAGCCGCCCCAGCACGCCCGCAAAGGCCGAGCCGTCACGGTTGACCCCGGCATGCCATTGATTGAGGCCGCGACGGGTCGCGACGGCCCGCTTAACGCAATCACAATCCCACCGGCAACGACCTGGAAAAGGCCAAATATCCCCCCAGTCCCAGAACTCCCGTCAGCGGCAACAGCAGACCGTCGAACTCGCAAACGATCCAACACAGCCCGCAGCGTGAGCAACCACCCCCGTCACCATCAAACTTACACCGCCCCCTCCTCCCCAACGTCTCCTATCGACGGCGCCCAGCACCCAGGAAGGGAACCCTTCATACCCAACAGCCTTCTAGCCCGAACCGCCCAGCTGGCCGTGACACCAAGCGGAGCGCCAATCGGACACGGCGTCGCGACGGGTGACCGCAACGCGGCAAAACCCATGTTGGACATGACGCCGCAGAGCCCATTTGCGGAGGGTAGCCTGCTGCACGGTCTATGAGAGGTTTGCACTCAATCTTACCGATATTTTGTCACTGGAATGGGAGATTTGCATTTGCTGATTTTCGAGGCGGAGGAGTTGGGTTTGGGTCGGATCTGGATTTTGCAGGTGGACTTGCATTGAGGTTGTTTTTGTCTCATACCCATATACCAAGTGTTATGGAGTTTGTCTTTTGTTTGATTTTTACAATCTTTTTTCAATCTCTTTACTTTGTTTGTGTCCATTTCGAAATGTCTTTTGGCTGTTTTTCATTTGTTATCTTTCGCATTATGACATTGAGTGAGGATATAGTGTCCACCATATCAAAAAAACAATTCCATACACACACGGCATGCCTACGTAGTAGATCCACTTTACTTCTTCACTGAGCTCCACATCTCTAACTACTATATCCCTCTTCTCATAGCCCACACCATCCTCGGACATGGGCCTGGCCAGAACCCAGTCTACATACCTGACTTTCTCTATTGAGCTGTTTATCCAGGTTTTTGGGACGGAGGCTGCGTATGCGACGTGCGTGTAGCATTCGAGAATTATGCGGGATGTATGGTGAAGAAGTGAGATGTAATTGTCGCGGGTACTCTCCGTTGTTTCACTGTGAGGGAAGTTCGTTTTGGTCGGTTGAGTGTTGTGGGTAAAGTAGACGTTTTTCGGGGGGGAGGGCAAATATAGGCGTGTATATTTGTTGAACAACCTGAGCTTTGGTTGATGTCGAAGCTCGTTGTCCGGCGTCTCTTGTCCATTTGAGAACGTATTCGTGGTAGGAGTAAGACGTCTGGGATGGAGAGTCGCTAGTTGGCGAGGATAGGACGCCACGACCTGAATTTGCTGGTTAGCTGTGCTGGTTAGTTTGCGAAACAATAGTGAACTAGTTGTGTCCCAGTATGGTGTGCTGAAGTATAGTGCTATTGTCGTGTATTCCTCTTGTAGCATCAGGTTCGTGACATTCTGATGTTGAGCATGCAAGAACTAGATCATTACCTAGTTGACTGATGGTGTTTAATCTCGGGCGGAAGACTCGATCGGGTCTGTGGCTGCTGACTCAGCTACCAGGCCTTTTGTCCGTTAACAGTTCAACAACACTCGTCTTTAGTAAGACTTTTTCAATACACAGAGAAGAAGGAATTAGATGATTATATAAAGAATATATAGTATGATAATTAATCCATCCAATTTTCTACTCATTAGAGAACTGGTAGTATGTATGGCCTCAGACAATCAAGGAAGGCAGTTTTCGGGTGGGCTCGTCCAATCAGAGGGCCGCTGATTCCGATCGCTTGTGGCTTAGTGAAAACTGAGCCTGAGGGTGATGCCGGCCCTCCGACTTCAACCTCCAATCTCCATTCTGGCCGAAAATCCTCACCATCACACCCCCGTGTTTTCCTCCCCCCCCCTCCCCCTCCCCCCACGACCAACCCTCCCTCAGATCTAGCAATTGGTCGGCTGCAATTGCTTCTCTCGCCATGTCTCTCTCTTCCGCTTCCAGCTCTCTGCTGCGCGCCTGCGCCCGCCAGCAGCTCCCCACGACCTCCCGCGCCGCCGTCGCCTCCTGCCAACAGCGGAGGGGTGTCTCCGAGGCCTCCAAGTCCTCCTTCCAAAGCCCCTTCGGCTCCTCCGAGGAGTACTCTTCGACCCTGAAGATCCCCAACTTCAGCAAATACTCTTCCAAGAAGTCCCCGCGCTCCAACCAGGTCTTCTCCTACTTCATGGCCGGCTCTCTCGGTCTGGCCTCCGCCGTTGGCGCCAAGGCCACTGTTCAGGGTGAGTGATTGGAATATTGTCCCAGGTCTGTCAAGAGGGGGATTTTCTGGCTGGATTTTTTTCAACTGGTGATCTTGAGCAATGGGAGGCTTCACGTGGTGGACGCACTGGGTTGGAGGTTGTTAGATCCCTCGGCTGATATACATCCGTCTTAGACTTCCTGGTCAACATGTCTGCCTCCGCCGACGTCCTGGCTCAGGCTAAGGTCGAGATTGGTCTCGGTGCCATCCCCGAGGGCAAGAACGTATGCTATCCCCGTCCTTTGTCCTTTCCGCGGACAGCTCGTCGCAAATCGTTTAGGGTCCAATAGACTGACTCCGTCTACAGGTCATCATCAAGTGGCGTGGCAAGCCCGTCTTCATCCGTCACCGTACCGCGGATGAGATCAAGGAGGCCGAGGATTTCGACTGGAAGGCCCTCCGTGACCCCCAGCCCGATCAGGACCGTGTCCAGAAGTCCGAGTGGCTTGTCATGCTTGGTATGTTTCTGATATTCCGTGGCACTTTACATCATACTGGTGAATCCTACTGTTCGGCTACTAATACGCATGCCCTACAGGTGTCTGCACCCATCTGGGTTGTGTCCCCATCGGTGAGGCCGGCGACTACGGTGGCTGGTTCTGCCCCTGCCACGGTTCCCACTACGACATCTCCGGCCGTATCAGGAAGGGTCCCGCTCCCCTGAACCTGGAGGTTCCTCAGTACAACTTCCCCGACGAGGAGTCCCTCGTTATCGGTTAAACGCATTCGCTTTCGTATCACCGCCCGTCATCCGGTTGCTGAGCGACGATTGACTGAACGCAAAATGGAGAAGGGGATGAGACGGGGGAAGTGAGGGAGAGATCAGAAGGTTTGTTTGTTTTTGTGGTTTTAGATGGACATCTCAGTGTACCCTTTGTCAAGATTATAAAGAGAACTTTGTTTTAATATGGAACCCGATTGATCACATGTGCGACCACCAAAAGAACCCATGAGATGAGCCTTTTGGTTTCAGTACCCATGGACAACTTCTCCCTCTGCTCTACTCTACGACGCCTCAGAGAGAGCCACTCTTTTGTTTTGGGGTTTTTCTTTTCTTCTCTTTTCTTCTCAAGTTCTAGACTTTTTCCTTCTCCACCAGACTTTTCATCCTCCCTTCCGCTCTTATCTCCTGACTTTCCAAAAAAGAAAAAGAAAAAAAAAAGAAAGAAAAGAGAAAAGGACGAGAAAAGAAAAGAAAAGATGGGAGCGGAATCCAGAAAGTGAAAATTCACATGTATGTAAATTACGGACGTGGATGGATTGTCTAGTCTTTCTTGTCTTGTCTATATAGTATATTCGCTACGCAATTAAGTTTCTTTTGTTCACTTTTGATTCTCTCTCTCTCTCTCTCTCTCGTTATTGTGAACAGTATTGTATGTAGTATCAAATATTTTATAACACCATATCCATAGACTGTTACCAGATGGACGTCGTTCATAGTATACCCACTTAGGTAGTATGTCCAGTCATTCAATCAAATGATGTATGGGTATCATATAGGTACAGGCGTCGTCTACGACAATGTATACATGTAGTTGAAAAGATCTTCATATTTATACAGGTATATCTATCCTATCCATCCGTCCAACCATCCATCCATCCATATCTATTTTTCATCAGCCTGTACAAAAGCATGTGCAGGTTCAAGCCCAGCTCTAAAATAAACCAAACAAAACAATAAATGAAACCAAAAAGACGAAAAGAAAACAACAAATAAACAACGCTGATACAACTCAAACAAGGCTTGGACTTATATTCAAATATACATTCCGCAGATCACAGCGGTCGAAATCAGACGCACAATCACCGCGGCCGGATCAGTGCAATCACAAGGCCCATGACTGCCGCGCCGGCTGCAGCGCCCTGCAGCGCAACGGTCGAGAGGTCCCGCTGCGTGATGGTGATGCTGCGCTCGCTGAAGCAGTCGTGGAGGACGCGGCGCCAGTGCTCGACGGTGTTGTTGAGCACGTCTTTGTAGTTGTCTGCTGGGGGGAGGGGTGTCTCAGCTGGTGTTGCTGCTGCTTCCGAAACGGGGGCACTGCCCGCGGGGGTAGCAGCCGGTGCGCCGTTGGTGTGGAAAGGTTCCTCGGAATTGGTGACTTCAAGGGGCGCGGAGAAGTGCGCGTCCATTGGGACGTGACTGTCGTCAGGGGAAAGGAGGTTGCCGTTATTAAAGGACTTCTCCTTCTCGATGGCCTCGATGACCTTCTCTTCGAAGCCGCGGACCAGGCGCGCCCGGCGCCACGGCTCAACGGCTATCTGGAAGATGAGGAACAGAAGCACGTTGACGCCCATCAGGCCCCAGGTGCCCCATGTACTCATGCGACGGATCTTGTCCGACCAGACTTGCTCCTCGTGGTAGCGGGACAGGATGCTCTTGCTCAGCTGGGCGGCGGCCTCTTCGGATTCGCGCTCCGCTGCCGATAGGGCCTCTTGGGCTTCGTTCTCGGCGACTTCGTTGGTGTGGTCGTTGCGGTAGAGGTGCGTGAAGCGCTCGAGGTCGGTGGGCGACCAGGCGTGTTTCCGTTGCAGGAGCTCGTTGACTTCGCGCTGCGAGGTCGAGCGGCGGTTGATGGCGGATGCGTAGGCGTCTTTGGCGCTGCGGACGTGGGAGCGGGCGGCGCGGAGTCGGTCCTCTATTCGTTTTTAGGCGGTTAGCGGGTCAACGAAGTGGTGAGGGTGGTAGGTTGGATGGAGGTTAGGCTAAGATGTAGCCAGGCACGTACCCTGGGTGTGGATATCTCTTTTCAAAGACTCGATCGACGAATATCCCGTCAGGTCGTTCAATCGCTGACCGGCCACGAAGACGTTCGACTGCAGGTTGTCCATCATCGTGCTGAACTGCTTCGCGAACTGCGACCTGCGGTCCTCCATGTACGACGGCAGACCGCCATCGTGCGTCCGGTCCGAGCCTGTCTTTCCTGGCTCCTCTGTCGATCTGTATAGGGACTCCTTCTCCGCGGCGGGCGGAGGCTGTTGTTCGCCGGTGAGCACGTCCGGTTTCGGGATCGCGTCGGTCCACGGGGTGTCGGCGGCGTTTTGCGAAGATTGTTCTGCGGGCCTCTCCTTGTCTTTCAGGTGGTCGGGGTCGTTGGGGGAGGCATATGTGGCGGGGTTGCTGCGGAATTGACGCTGCAGGCAGACGGAGAATGCCCGTGTGGTGGGCGGTAATAATGTCTTCGGGCTGATGGCGGTTCGAGGAAACGCAGGTGGGCGGATGGGACGAGGGGTTCTGGAGAGGTTGGCGCTTGCTCGGAGAGACTGCCGGAACAGCAGTGGCATTGACTGCATGGCCGATATGAAGGAAAGCCCCGAAATGCCGACCAGAGGCTGGTTGATGGTTGGTCGTGGGGAAGAGAGGGACGTGGAAGTGGTGTTGGTTGGGGTTTGGAGGGTCCGATGGGGTCCGGGCAGCACCGGGAAAGCGGAATTTACATGTCCGCGGGTTCTGCGGGCTTCGAAGAAGAACTCTCTCCCCACCGCCAGTTTTCCTCCGATGGACCTACGAGGCTGGCAATTCTCCACGATCGTCTCTGGCGAATTTCTCGTGTCATCGGTTCTGCCTCCGGGAAAATCTCTTGAAAAATATCCAATACACTAAGCATTCGTTACAAAAATCCAGACAATATTATGCAGGGTCGTCAAATCCATAGCTCGTCGAAATCAAAACCCATTGAGTTCGTCCGCTGTGATATCGTATACACATGTGCCAATCGCCGGTCGCACCCATGGCCCATCACCACTATCCCGAAAAAGCAAAGACATGAGGGGCAATGAAAGAGGTCCGCCCTTCCCACGGAGAAAAGAGAAGGCCCAATCACTCTCCCCCCACCGGGTCAACTCTTGATCAGACTCTGCACTCACTCGTCGGTCTGCACCTTATGATCACCCCGCACCGCCTCCGCATACGTTGGCGGAGCATGCGACTCATCCGAGGCGTGGTGGTGGCTGTTGGCCTGGCTGCTGCCCTGGCCACCACCACCGCTACCACCGCTATTCTGGTTTTGGGGTTTGGGAGAAGGTTGTGCGGGCGGTCCCTGCGAATCGACAGTGCCATAGCCCCGTTGGGGTTGAAGCTGCGGGGACTGGTGCGAGACGTAGTAGTAGGTCACACGGCCACCTTCGACGTCGTCCCGGGTCCCAGACCGTGGGATCGGCTCGTAGTTGGGATCGTCGTAGTCGGGCTCCGGGTTTCTAATAATTACGTACCAGGCATGGAGGAGTCCGGGGATATACCCCAGGCAACAGAGGGCAAGGTTAATGACAGAGTCGGCGGTGCATAGTCCTTTCTTGATCCATACTGTGGGTTCTCTACTTAGTTTTGTCCGATCTGAGTTGATCTCGGGGAGATGAGAGTAAGGTCACTCTAAGACGAGCGACGCATAGGAACATACCTGCCACTGGGGGAAAGAAGATGGCCAGAACGCCAAGGAACATGTCTGAGCTGCACATGGTTGCTATGATAGGGTGGTGACGTCTCTCGAGGACGTTGTCACCATATAAGATTCTAAGAGGAGATGGTCAAGGTAGAAGTGTCTCTATCTGAAAGGTAAGTACAGCACAGGGCCAACGACAGATGGAATTGGCGGCACCAGGTGGGATGAAGACCGTCAACGATGCAGAGCAATGAGGATGATGGAGAAGTTGGGGACATGTACAGTAATGGTGCCGCCTCTGGTCTGTCAGATGACGTCTGAGGTCACCTGACCTGTGGCGATGAGCCATAATGAATTCATTTCATCATATACATTTCTATATTATATCTATATAATGGTTACATATATTGAGATATTATATCTATGTAATACTTCTGTGGTTGGGGAACGGTATATGATCTGTTGGTCTAGATTGTATACTCTTCCATGATGGTTATATATTCAAATAGTAAACATCCTATATACTAAGAAAGTATCGAAATTACTCTCACCCTTTTTGGATCTACAAAGATACCACTGAGATAGTCGATGTAGAGATGTCTTTAGTTTTGTGTTGCCTATTCCGACAGTCCTTGACTGCAAAACTGGCTGACTGACTAGGATTCGTGTTGCCTGCGGGGTATGACAGCTTCTACAGAGGTAGTCGGATTATTACCAACCAGATCACGATAATCCCGCATCCTCGTGTCGTAAACAGCGGGGTATCAGTTTCTCGTCCATCGTTGAACCCAGGGTTGATCCTTTTGATGCTTGGAATGTGACTTTTAAGATGAGTGCTGTGATTAATTGGGTCTTGCTTGTGCGCTAGATCTTCCTTGCATACAGGAGATTAACACCCATAACATCGAGGTCAATTTAGGGGTATGCACCTTGGACATTGTTCATCTCCGACATCGAGTAAGGTGGATGATATTCTGTCTCCCCTCACCTCGAGAGTCAAGTGATCTCACCATCTTGAGTGCCACATGTGCAAGGCAAGAACGTGAGGCTCCAGAATGGTGGATCTACTTATATCTCTGCCTGACGATTAAGGCATAAAGAGCAAAAGTGAAGGTCTCGAAGCACCAATAAGACAGTCTGATGTTGACAATCAACGCCATCGACATCCATAAGATGCATCACCGACGTCGGGAGGCGGGTAATTTGTTATTTCCCGAGTCAGTCAGTAATACTGTTCTCATCATCATCTTGCAATAAATAGCGATCGTCTTTAGATGGGTGGAGCCGAGGCTTCTGCGCCGTGACTGGGCAAGGGACCTTGCAGCAACTGAAACACCGATGTTGGGAGCTTGGGCCCAGTCCTGCCGGGTTTTCTGTCCTCGATCATGGGTAATTAGATCCACATCGTCCCTGGCATTGAGGCCTGACCAGGTGGTCTGGCATTGGGACTGTTTGCCAGTTATCTAGATGTCAAACAACTTGAGTGTATACCAGCGAGGGTGGAAAACATCCGACTATGTCTGCAGCCACTGTCCGTACTCTAGTCACATGCTGGTCCCACTGATCGAGGTGCGCTCATCCGAAATGGTCGTTTTCAGGTATCAGTACAAATTCCAGAGACGACAGTGAGCGATGATGCGACGTGGTTGACTAGTAAAGAGTGTATACTCAGCCCTTCCATGGACGAGGCTGTCGGTCGAAACGCCACGTCAGAAAGACAACTGACCGACCAGCCAAATTCCAATCAGACCGCATCATGTTGGCGTTCCTGCTTTTGTCTTTTCTTTTTTATCTAGGAAGCGTTGGGGTTGTCAAAGTACCAGATTGGATCCGTATATATAGCGGTGTCAGACCTCGGAGGATTGATCCAGAAGAATATCTCCGACCACCCTTGCCTTGACTTCGATTATCATTCTTGTCCTCCGTACTCCAGACCTGGATTGACGAACCCGTTCGGTGGCACGAACGGGTGATCTAGGGTCTCGCGCCTGAAGTGGATCAAGATCGCTCACTCCATCCACCGAATCCAGTCTTCTCGATTGACCTAGGCGACCTGCATTGCCTCAAGTTAACCCGATTCATCGGTGAGGGTCTTCTGGAGATCAGAATTAATTAACGATAATAAGAATCAGAATAATAATAATTAGCAGACCTGTGCGACACAGTAAGGGCCGTGGAGAGGTCGAGAAATTGGACAGACGCCGGTGCTTTTTTAGTCTGTGGTTAGTTCGCTTTTCTTTGCTCCCCCTTTTCCAATCCGTCCGCCTGAGTTTCAACCCGCGTGGTCCATATTTCCTGTTCCTGGCGAGTCGACTGCATTGGGATTAAGATTGACCTTGTTTATCGCACTTTTCGTCTGTGAGGGGGTGTTGAGTACCTGCCTAAGTCTCTGTCGCTAATCAAGCGTCCAGGCTGAGCATCGACACGAGTCAAATCTTCCTACCTTTTCAATCCTTCTCTCTGCTCATTTCTATTCTTGGCTTTCCCTCGCTCTCTCTCTCTTTTCTCTCTTGTCTTTCTCTCTCTCTCTCTTCTTCATCTCTCGTGCTTCGTCTTTCCTTCTCACCACTCGTCACATTTCCCAGTCATTCGTTTATTTATTTATTGATTTTTCACTTTCCCTTCTCCACCACTCCTGTGGATCCGGGCTTGGACCATCTTGTTTTTTCTTCTTTCACTTTCTCGTCCTTTTAAGGCTGGTGACCTTTTATCATCTCAACCGGTCCCTTCGAAAGCTGGACGCGTTGCGATTGTTCCGCTGTCATCCATAACCGACTCGAGGTTTACCACCCAACGCACTGACAACTCAACCTGTGAAAGATTTTGCAACGCCATGAGCGATTCTTTCCGCCAATTCGACTACTGAACCGTCCTTGAATTCGCGATTGATTGTGGTGGGCCTTCCGGTGGTCACGAACCGTATATCGAGAGCACTGCTTGACGAGCCACCCGCTGGATAGGGTCGACGAGGCCCATCATGGCCAAATGCTTTTCGCTGTCCGGGTCGAAACAATGTCCGGCCTTCAAATCGTCCTCCATATCGACCGACTCCCGTATCCACACTGATTTGTATGGGTTTGATCCCAAACCCCCCCCGTCACGAGCCCTAACCCGCTAACCGCTGCACAGTCCATTTATGAAAGACGTGACTAGCCTCTCCGACTTTGATAAAGCGCTGGACGACTTCGTTCTGGGGTCATACGTCCGGTCAAAGTAAGTCGGCCTCCGGCCCAAGTCAGCGAGCTCGGCACTAAAACACCGCCAATTAGATATGTCAACTACCTAGGATGTGAGGGGGCCAATCTCACTGACACGGACGAATTCTACGCCCAGTATACCACCAGTTCCATCTGCAGTGGGCTGGTCCAGAGCTCCAGGGAGGACTGCGACCTGTCGGATGAACAATCCCGTCCGCTCTGCGCTGACACTTGCGTTCGTCTTCTTACCCTTCTTCTAGCCCCAACCGCTACTAATACACAAATGCAGGCCTCCATGGCGACGAGTGAAGGCAGGATCCTCACATCCGAACGTTGTCCCAAGAAGGCGAAGAACTACTTGGACCAGATCCGTTCCGATTTTACCGTGTGCGCCCTACCCGCCGACTCCTTGACGGTCGGCTGTATCCAAGGAGCCGACAACGAACCGAAAGAATGCGGCTTCCGCTCCAACCTGGTCGGCCTGTGTGATTATTGCAGATCGAGCTCGCCAAATTCGACTGACTCATGCTGTGTCAACGCGGACGCCGGAACGCGATGCCGAGACGTCACGCTCCCTTCGGCCAGCACCCTGCCCCCGCTGTTCACCACGACCTCCGATGCTTCCGCCGACGACGCGCACCGTGGCTTATCGGGAGGAGAGATCGCCGGGGTTGTGATTGGCGCCGTCGCGGCATTCGCCCTCATCGCCGCCCTGGCCGTGTTATTTCTGGTCTACTGGCGACGAAAGCGTCGCTTGAGCCTCGACAGTGGATTGAACCAGCCGAACCCCCAGCGGAAGGGCTCGCCTTCGATGCAGCAGCAGGGAAGTCCCCGAGGTTTCGCTGCGATTCCTGGTGGACGAGTCACACGCATGTCCGCGCTGCGGGAAGTTCCTGGATCCGCACGCTCCCGGGCCTCGGCCTTTTTTGGTGGCAAGTATCATAGCGATACTTCGGACTCGGAAGGCTATGGGGCGAGTCCCGGGGCCATGTCTAAGAGTATCCCCCCCACTGCCGGAAAGCGGTTGGGATCCCTGTCCAGCAACTCGGTCCTGGCCGGCGTAGGCAGCGACACCACGTCGCCTCGTTCAGGGACGGCGGGGAATTACTCGTCCCCCGAAGCATTGTCGAGCGGACAATCAGAGCAGCTCTCGTCCTTCCAGGACTATTACTCACAAGATGACATGTGCCCGGGTGATAGGGTCGCGGTCTTGTGGGCATATCAACCCCGAGCGGACGACGAGTTCGCGCTGGACCGCGGTGAGATGTTGAAGGTGATCGGTATCTGGGATGATGGCTGGGCCACGGGGATTCGCGTCCCCGAAACTGCGGAGGATTACGACATCCGACATCGCGAACAACGGGATAGCGGCGTGTCCAATGGCTCTCAGAGGCCCCTGACTTCCCCGGCGCCAATTGGGGGTATCAAAGCGTTCCCCTTGGTCTGTGTGTGCCTTCCACAGCATTGGAGAAAGATCATCGACGGTGGACAGGGTGACGATGTCGTGTGAGCTGTGCTGCCCATCCCCACGACATCACCTGTGGTTAGATGACAGTTTATGCCATGATGACAGCGCCTTTACCCTTTTCGATTCGAGTTCACGAAGTTGGTTCTTTGTGCGCCCATAATCAACACCGAAATCCGCGAGCATGCTTGGAACATCCGGATTTCCCTACTCTTTTACCCTCATTCGTCTTTCTATACGACCACGCAGGTGATACCGGACTGGTCTTCTCATCTTGTGTGGTGTTACCGTTGCCGACCCGTCTTTGATAAAAAGCTGGTTTGATATGTTTTAAGATTTTAGCGTTTATATACCCCATGTTCGAGCGCTTCGTCAGCTCGTCAGTTCTTGGACTGCGGTCCGTTTGTTTTTTTCTTTCTTTCATCCATGAGCGACATCTACCTACAATGTGGTTTAACGGAGGATACGTTCCCTACTGCAAGGTTGCAGGGTAGTTGTGATTGATGCCATGGGTGGTGGTCTCTGCTTGGGCTAGTTGATTCGACACCATGCAGGGGCCACTTTGGTACATATCGATGTATGTAATCCATATCTATATCTTACTTTCAATAAATATCTGAAACCGCCATTTCCCCAGCGTAGCATCTTTATATCAACGTCAAAATCCTACAGTGTTCTACACTTCATCAACTCGCTAGCCAGATACAGTACATACAAAACAGGGGCCAACTACAATCCCACCCACCCAATATTAAACTTTAACCTCAACTACCGAAAAAAGCGGACAAGGCGGCCGACCAAAATGATGTAATTTATACGCGATGGACAGCGGCTGCCTCAGAAGCCAACCCCTCCTGCAAACTCTTTGTAGGCGAGTTGTGAAATTTGTTTGCTTTGCTGCATTCCTCCCCCGTGTCCTTCCCGGCTTGACGTACGAGCTGTTGTGTGATGTGCCTTGCATCTTGCATACCTTACTGCAGATCGGACTGGCTAGGGATAGAACAGCGAAGACCCTGGAAAAGAAAAGGAAAGGAATATTTGGTGAGGGGAGTTGCGGTCTGGTACGGGGTTAATCTGAAATTTGGCGAGAGGACTTGCAATTCGGTAGGGATTGATCGTACCTTGGTAACTGAAGGCTTCCACTTTTTGTGGCAGATCTTTGGGGCCTGATTTGAGTGAGTGGTCGTGTCAGTTCCTGTCACAGACATTCAGGACCTTGAAATCGAAAGGTCATACCAGTTCTTGTGACACACCTTCAGGATTGAAATTGAGTGGCCCTATCAGTTGCAAGATATCCTTTTCATCATGGAAAAATCACAAACAGGGCCCCGCCCCCTCCCCGTGGAGATCATCCAATCCATTCTCCAACAGCTGGACATCGAGAGTTATCACGCCGCACGGTCAACATGTCGCGGTTGGCGATATGCGGCCTCAGCGTCGTGGATGCTTTCACGGGTGCTCCAGCAAACCCAAGCGCTAATGCCCCCCAGAACAAGCTCCTTGACGGGAGCCGAATGGAACAGATATTTCGATCAAATCGCCCGGCTCAACCTCCTCTCATACCGGACCAACGTCCGGAAGACAGTCTCCAAGCTGCCCTTTCCTTCAGACTGCACGAGACTCAACGTGCAAGCCTCGTCATCCAATGGCCACATAACGGTGGCCTTGGAGGGAGCGCAATTACGTGTGTACAGCAGTCAAGCGCCCTGGGAGTTTTCAGTGGCTCCATCATTGTACCCGCCCTGGGAGTCCATCTGCAGGAATTCGATGAGCATCAATGACTCCATCTACATACCAATCAACGAGCAGTACACGAAGTACTGTCTCGCGGTCTCCTCGCGAGGCGACACCCTCGCAGTAGCCCTGGGCAAAAAGATCCAGATCTACAGCCTCCGCGACGGAGACGACGAAAGCCGCGCCGCCCCAGTCGAGTACACCATCAACCAGACCAACAAAGTATTCCGCTTCGCCCCACCCGCACGCTTCGAAGAAACCGACGGCGTCGTCAAGTCGCTGGAATTCACAGAAGACGATGCCCTCCTCCGCGTCTGCATCCACCGCGAGACCACCTCTCATCAGCCCTCGCGTGTCCGCTACCTAGGGAACCCGGACCTCGCACGCGGTTGCAACTCGGGCCTGTCGTACTGGCAGGCCAGTCTCAATCACATATATGTCGACTCGGTCGTTCTCGCCCTCGACCTTGGGAGTCACCGCGCTGGGCGATGTCTCCTCCGCGGCCTTCGACTCCTCCCGTCGTCCTTCCAGGTACATTCTCAGCACCGACACCACCATAGCCACCACCGTTACACCCCGAGAAAGATGTCCCACTTGGAAACCACCACCGCCACCCGATACTTCATCGCCGCTCTTCAAACGAGCCTCGTGGACAGCTACGCTATCGGCTCCATCACCCCAGAAGGGCTCACTACCGCCGGTGTCCAAATCCACCGCGTCTTGCCTTCCCGCTACTACCTCGCGAGCCTCCGCCTACCAGGTGTCAGTAACAACAACAACAACAACAACCTCACCCGCGCAAACCCCTTCCCCAGCCCTTCCCCTCTTCAAATGCATCAAGACTACAACAACAACTACAACTACAACAGCAGCACGCCTACCGATCCATTCCTCCCCTACATCATCCCCCCTCACCCAACATTCCATTACCCCTACTCACGCAGACCCAACCCGTGCGCAAACACACCCGCAGACCCAACTCCAGGCACAACCACCACCAACCTCCGCCATGACTTCCAAAGGTGGTCCGACACGAACCTCCCCTCCGCAACCTTCACCTCGCCCCTCCTCGCCACCTCCTCAGACAACCGCCTCGCGGTGATTTACGAGCCCGGCGGCTCGCACACCCGCTTCGTCTCCGGCGGCGGCACCCTCTACGTGGTTGACATCTCGTCCTGCACACCTGCCTACCAGCCCTACGCGGTGCCTCGCGCTTCTGCCGCTGGCAGTCCGACGAATTCGACGGCTGCGTGGCTGAGGGTGCGGAAAGAGGACGGGCCGCAAGATATTATCCCTGCTTGGCCGTTTTTGCTGGATCGGCTTTATTTTGATGCTGATGCTGTTGGGGTTGAGGTGGCGGATTCTGCCTTGGCTTCTTCTTCCTTCTTCTTCTTCTCCTCTTCGTCCTCGTCCTCCTCTTCTTCCTTTTCTTCCTCCTTCTCATCCTCTTTCTCACCCTCCTCTTCTTCTCCCTACTTTTCTCTTTCCTCCCCCTCTTCTTCCCCTACATCCAGTACCCCCCCATCCAGCACCCCTCCCCAACCCACTCCCATTCCCCCTCCAAAAGGACCCACCCGATACACGGTATGGGCTCTATCCGAGTCAAAAGGCCTAAAACTGCAGTGGGAGCTAGGCGCAGATATATCTTGCCCATGAGATGAGGGTAGATGGGACCCTCCTTTGCGCGGGGGCTTGAGTCGGGTGTGGGGCGTTATCAGATTGGTTTATAGTTTATAAACCCAGTTTGGGTATTGAGTATGTTTGCTCTGGGAGTGTTGCGGTGGGGGGTTTTACTCACGTGGATTGGGTTATGGGTTATATACTGTAAGTTAGTAGTAATGCTGAACTGGCAGTTTGCTTTTACTCCTTTACTATTACGTATTATGTAGTAGTATAACATCATCATCATCTTGAGAGACATGTCTGAGTGGACTGATCCAAGATAATTAATGCATACGTCCCCCCAGAGTACCCCGTACTACTTTAGGGAATGTCTATACAGGGTGGTTATAAAATTACTTATCTATCCATCTATATACCATATATCTATAGTCATACAAATTCACCAGAAGAAGAAACATCTATGATATAGTCACTACAGTATAAAATCCACAGCTAGACGAACCCTAGATCCAACCGCAGGTCAGACAAGCAACTAACTGTACAATGCACACATGGCCATCTATCTACCAATTAAGTAGCCATGAACAAATAACACTCAGTCAGGAACAATACACATAACTCAAGCTCAACTCAGAATTAACTCGCTAGATAGGTGCAACAGAACAACCTGACCAAGTAATAAGTCAATTAATGAATAGATAGATATATAGATATATAGATAGATAGATAGATCGATATTAGGCGAGAGGGGCAGGAGGAGAGGAAGAGAGGAGGATGGTACAATGTACAAGAGCAGAGCAGGTTTAAAAGAACGGTTTCGTGCGATCAATCAATCAACAAGTATTGGTATCAGGGAAGAACGCAAAAGCAACAGATATGGACGTGTATGTAGCAAGCAGTAGGAGGGGGGTTTGTTTGGGGAGGGGGGGGGGGAAAGATCGTGATGGTGGATTCACTGCTAGTAAGGGGGAAAAAATCAGGAAAATAGCATGCAACTGAAAGATGAAAACGATGAAAAAAATTTCTGGGTTTGCACCACACCACCATTATAGTAATAACACAATGCCCTCTTGTCTAATCGACTGCGACCGATGATTTTGAATCCACTAAACCAGGGGGGAATAACACAAGGAAATAAAATGAAATGCAATCAAACGAAATGGAAAAAGAAAAATATGAACATGTGGACAATCTATGGTGAAGACGGCGGCGGGAATGCTATTTGCGGTCCAAACGGTCCGTCGTCTCTCGCATCCTTGGGAGACGCAGAGACGAGGCCGTCGACGGTGCTTTCGATCTCCTCGTTCTCCTCTTCCTCCAGGGAGCTTTCGCCGTAGTCGACGGTGGGCTCGGCGTCGTGGTCATAGCTGGATTGGCGGAGGAAAGGCGGGGTCTGCGGTGGCTCGCGGTTCCCGGCGCCACTTCGTGAAGAAAGTGGTCTGGGGGTCGTGTCCACGTTGTGAGCAGCTCCGCTGTCGGATGTACGCCGCCATGGTGGGGGAGCACTGGCGTTGAGGGGGGTTCGGCGGACGTGCGAGCTCGGGGGCGTTAGAAGTCCGGAGAGGAACGCGCTGGCATTGCTCGTTTTGGATGGCGTCTGCTCTGGGGGGTTGGACTGCTGTTGACTGTCCCGTCCCTTGCGCCAGTTACCCCACGCGGCGGCGGCGGCGAGAGGCAGAGATCGCGGCGACGAAGTCAGCTCGGTGAGAGAACGGAGACTTGGGAAGCTTTGTCCCGGGGAGGCTCGCTCCTTCTCTTGCTGCTGCATCTGGAGGTTCGCTCTCAGGCGGATGGCAGCGTCGCGGACAGCGTTATTATCGAAAGAAGGCTGTGACACGGTCTTGATGATATCCTCAAGGTCGTCGATGCGAACTCCGAGAAGCTCACGCAGCCAGTTGATCTCAGTGTCTTTCTCGCGGACCGTATTTGGTGCGTCCTTGTCGAAAGTAGAGACCTCCTGCTCCAGCTCTTCGATGCGAGACTCGCGCTGCTGCAGCTGGTCCTGGAGAACAAGGATCGACTCACGGAGAGCCTGCGGCGAGATCTTCTCCGGAGCGTGGGAATCCTTGTCAAAGGACAGCGACGGGGAGCCTGCATGTAGAGACGGAATGGCGCTGGTGGCTTTGCCCTTCTGGGCGGCTTCAGCCGCTGCGCGAGCTGCGGACTGGGCGATTTCAACCTTCTCTTCGAGATGGCGAACGCGGTCCTGCAGATGCTGCGCTCTCTCGTCGGACAGCGCCAACCGCTCCATGAGATGGGATTCTCCGCGCTGCTTGTCCTCGGACGAGTTATGCAGTGCGCGAGCGTGGCGTTCCCGGAGGTCATTGAGAGTGCGTTCGTGAAGCTTCCGCTGGTCCTCCATGGCGATCTCCTTCGACTCGACAACAGCGGCGATGGAGGAGACCTTTGTTTCGTTGGCCTCTTCCAGCAGCATTTCGTAGCGCTCCCGTGCCGTGTCGCTGTCGAGTCGGAAGCTATCAAGCTGGCTCTGGAGACGGAGGTACTGTGCCTCAAGTTCAGCCCGGACAATGTTGACCTGGCTGTTTGCGGCCTCGAGATCGGCCTCCATCGAGGTCCTAGTACGCTGGATCTCCATCCGACTGCTCTCACGCGCGTCATTGAACTCACGCTCAAAGCGAGCCGCCTTGACCTCGAGCTCATGATTCTCGATTCGCAAGTTGGCAACCAGCTCTTCCAGTCTCGCGTTCTCCTGTTGGGACTGCCCGAAGATGAATTTGAGCTTAGCAGCCTCACGGTCCTGCTGCTCAAGCTCGCTGACATCGTTTTCAAGCTTCTCACGCAGCTTGACCTCTCTGTTGTAAGCAGCGTTCATATCGTTGTACTTGGAATTGAGCTGCTCTTCGCGTTTCCGCCAATTGACCTGGTCGCGGGTGATCTCGCAGGTCACATGGGCCATTTCCTCCTGGATATGGTCCAGCTTCTCCGACAGGTTCTTCCTGGTGTTAATGCCATCCTCGATCCGTGTCTTCATATGGTCGATGTGGCCAGTAAGCTTCTTATTTTCCTTCCTGACTACTTCCAATTCGGCGTTGGCCCGCTCGCCCTGCCGCTTCCAATTGTCGCTGGTAACCCGGTACTCGTCCAAGGTGCCCTCCAGGTGGATATTCTTCGAAGACACTTCCGCAAGGGTAAGTTTGAGGGTGGCGTGATCCTGCTCCAGAGAGTCGGTCCTGAATTGGACTTTCTCGAAGTAAGGAATCTTCTCCTCCTTGAACTGAAGCAGACGAGCCTCTGCAGACTCTGCAGCCTCGCTGTGACGAGCGGCATCTTCCTCAGCAACCTTCAAGAGCCGCTGCAGCTCTGCCAAAGAGTCCTGAGCTTCCCGCCGCAGCTTGTACTCTTGCTCAGCCCTCTCGTCAGTGATCCGCAGCATGCCCTTCAGGCCATCGATTTGGAGCATGAGGCTGTCGGCGCCGATCTCATCAGCATCGGAGGGACGGGCCTGCTGCTGCGCCAGCTGGGCGGAGACAACATCTTCCATCATGTCCCGCAGATCCGCGGTCGGATTCTGCGAAAGCTTTTGGATGGTCATGGTCTGCAACTCAGCGATGCTGTCGCGAAGCTGAGCAATTTCAGAAACCTCTTCTCTTTCTGGTTCCGCGGGGAGTTCCCGGGCGGCCATAGCCTCCAGGATAACGCTCTTCAGCTGATCAAGCTTGCGAGTCCTCTGTCGCACAGGTGATCGTGCCCTGAACGAAGCGTTCTCTTCAAGCTCCTCGTCCTCGTCATCGGCATCGCTCTCGGCATCAGCCGAAGTGCTCCAGCCAAGTTTACTCGGGTCGCCAGAGGCAATAGCCGCCATTGACTGCTGGATGACACCCAGTGCGCGTTCGAGAGGAGACAATCGCTCTTCGACCGCAGATCCGACGAGGTCGTTGATTCGACGATCAAAGAACCGGCTTCTATTCATCAGCTTTCCTTCCTCGCCAGACGTGATCACGTCATCCCAATCGCTGATATGGTCGTCGTTCGGGTTCACCAGCTTCCGGATCGGTGAGTGCATACCGGAAGCGAAGCCCTTCGAAGGAGTGACCGCCATCTGCGACTGAGCGTCGAAGTCGAGTTTGGGCATGTCCAGAGCATGGGGCATAGGTCCACGCCCTGGGCTAGGACTAGGGGCCTCGCTCCTGATCTCGACAGGGGCGTGGCGCTTTTCTTTGGACGGCGCGACGGCAGACTCGTGATGAGAGCGATAGACATGATGCGGTGTACTTATCCTTTCAACACCAACGTCGGAATCGCCGTTGAGCTGTTCCATGATCGCGTTCAGCTCCTCCTCGTCAGGGGAACCCTGGTCCGAATCATCTTGTCTGGCGATTGCAGCTGACAGGGCCTTTGCCATGATCTCCGGGTCTTCGGTCTCCGCAGAGGCCAGTTTGCTCTGCGGCTCAGCTGGGGGAGCGGGTTCAGCGTAACGCGAGGCCATGAGATCATTCTTCTTCTCGGCAGCTGGCTGGGGCGTAGGCTCTGGTTCCTTGGGTGCAGGAGTAGGTTGAGGCGAAGGAGATTGTAGCTTAGCGGCAGAGGGAACGAACTCAGCCACAGATGGCTTGAACGTGAACCTCTTGCCCAAACGGGAGAAGATAGATCCCCTCTCGGCGGGCTTCTCGGCGGGTTTCTCGGCGGGGACATCTTGTGTCTTGGGTTGCTCGGCGGACTGTTTCTGGGCCGAAATCGGCTCGGCCTCAGGCGTCTTCTTTTGCTCCTTTCCTTGCTCTCCGTCTTGTTTAGGTTCTTCCTTGCCGTCGGGTGCCCAAGTGGACGCCTCGCTGACAGGTGTGTCCTTGCGCTCATCGAGTTTCTCAATCTTCGAGCTTGGCTTAGCATCTCCTTTCTCGGGGGATGTATTCTCTTTGCCCGCAGCGGACAAGGACAGCTTCGAGGGCTGGGCTGACTGAAGGTTGAGTTTCTCTGCCAAAGCGTTATCTGAGATACTGAACTTAGCCTCCTTGTCAGAGAACTCAACACCACGACGAACTCGCTTGTGACGATCAGCAGAAGTAGTGCCGTTGTTATCATCCTCTGCCTTTTCTTCTTCTTCTTTCTTCTCTTGCACGCTGTCTGGGCGCACGATGGGGATGGCCTTGGATTTCTTCGCAGGCTTGGATATCTCCGAGAGATCAATGTCACCGAAGATGTTAGCCCTTCCGGGCGATGCGTGCTTGGAGGACGCAGAATGGACACTAGCAGCCGGGTTGAATGCAGCGGCCCCGACGTTGAAAGAAGCGGGAGAGAACTTAAATTCACCAGACGCGTGGCCCGCGTTACTGTTCCTCGCACTGCCGGGGGTGAAAGGACCTTCCATACCATATGTGCCCGATGGAGGTTGGAAGCCGGCTCCCGAACCGAAAGTAAACACGGGGTTATCGGCAGCGTTCCCTTGGAACGACATCGAGGCCGAGGGGTCGAACTCTTTCGCGTCGACATTGAGAGTCGACGCCGAGAGCTTGGAACGGTGCCCAACACCGTAGGACCCGCCACTGGGCTTGGATTGATGCCAAGGCAGATGGTTCGGGAGCGCACCGTGTACATGAGGTGTTCCAGACAGACTTGGGTTGGTGTCGATGTCGGAGCCCTCGTGAGCGTTCTCTGCAGGGTAGCTGCCGTTGTAAAATTGTTGCACATGCTGGGGAAGGTGGTGGAGGTTACGGTTCTGGTCCTCTGGCATAGCCCACCGAGAGTTCATCAGCCCAGGGCCTTCAAAGTTGTGAGCCGGCTCACGGTCGCCCTCCTCGAGCTGTCGCTTGATCGATTCTTCCAGATGGTAATCAGACGGACCCATCTGGTCCAGCCCCTTTTGAAGCGTCTCGCTCAGGTTGTGGCCTCGGCTGTGGCCGCGAGGCGTGGGCTGGGCGATCTCAACCGTCGAGGCATGGAAATTGTCATCTTCGGTAGGAGTGTGAACAGGTCGCAGTAGTTGACCATCCATCATGTGATCCTGCATATCATGGACCATAGGGTTACCAAAAGCGTCCTTCATGGACGAGTGCTGATCGTTCAGGCCGGGGTGGAACCCATTCTGTTCATGCAGTGGAGATACCGGAGACAACATGGACGTCAAATTGGGAATACCTCCACCCATGGTGGACGTGCCGCTGACGTTCCTGGCGTTGAAGAAGCTCTGGGGCGTGAGAGTTCCCTGCGTCGGAGGCGTCGGCTGGAAGGGCATGTGGAAGCCGGGCAGCATATGTTGATGCTCGACGCCCATGAATGGCGTCTGCACGCCGAACTGCGAGGCGGGGGAGGCCAACGAAGGGATGCCGTTGTTCGGGTTTTCTGATTGGTTGAAATGGGGCGAGAACGGATGAGGGACAGACATCGGGTTACTGGCTGCCGACGCCGTTGGGATGGGTGGTGAAGAAACAAGACCGGGGAAGGGGGCAACCTGGCCCATCGCGGCCGACGCAGGCGAAATGGACGGCGGTGGCTCCTCCGCCGGAGACAGCACACCCAGGGCTCGCAGCTTTTCCTCCTGGAGGAAATTGACGTAGGAATCCCACTCGTGCTTGTTCGGAATCTTCACACCGTAGTTCCCTGCTTTGTAGTCATCGTAGGTCTCGATCTGGTCGGGGAACGTTGGCCGACTATTACCGCCCAACTCGGTATCTGCGGGGTCCTCCGGTGCGCAAACACTGAACCCACGAGTATCGTACCCTTCCGCTTCCCACTGTTTCATTTTTTCGTCCACGTCCTTCACCGACATGAGCCGGTATCCGGATTCTTCTGAGCCTCTCTTGTCTTCCATTGGGAGGGCAATGATGCATGCCTTGCCCCGCCAGAGGATCTTTTTCCTCGGTCTCGGAGTCGTGCTCTTCTCCGGCGTCTTCATCGGTTTAGGTTCAGGGGGCGGGGCGCTGTTGGATGTCGACGTCTCCTGGGAGTCGTCGGCGGGAGGAGGCGGCAACGGCTTCTCAGCCCGCGCGGGTGCCTTGCCCGGCTCCTGTTCAGTGGGAGACTGGGCGTCCTTTGCGTCAGACATGGTGATCGGTTGAGGGTCTTGATCGTAAGCAAATCCCCAGAAATCCTCCTGTCGCAGCGTATCGGCTCTCTTGTGAGTATGCTCTTTTGCCCGTGGACGCGAAGAAGCTCCTTCGCCGTTACGAGCCGCCGATCGTCGACCTACAAAGTCCGAGAGCGTCGGGGTTTTGAGGAGGTCCTCGTCGCGCGTGTCTTGCTCTAGCGCAAGCCAGTCGTCCGACGCGTCCTCGGCGAAATTATTCGGTGCCGTGAAGAACGAGGGCGCTTCGCTGCCGGAGTCGTCGCTCAGCCAGTTACTGCGCTCCGTCCTAGGCTGACCCGAGAGGTACTGATTTATCCAATCCTGTGTAAAATCCTTGATCGACTTCCCTCCCTTTCTGCCAAAAAAGTCGCCGCGTCCCGAGGAACGATTGAGGGTGCCACTATGCGGCTGTCTCGTCGAGCCTTCGAAGGCGGGGGGCCTCAGGGAATCGTTATTGTTCACTTCCGAGTCGTGGGGGAGACCACTGTGCATCGAGCCTGGAGAGCTGGCTCCAGAACCACGATCGACGACGCCGTACTGACTCAATGACCACGAGAGCCTCCGAGGGCTTGGTGCAGCATACGGAGAACCCCAGGCGGTGGTGTAGTAGATGCTACTCTCGGCTTTTCGATTCTCGGGGGACGAGGTGGAAGAATCCCCAGTGCCACGGTACTTGGCCAGAGGCGGATTGGGGTCGACGCTGCGGTCCCTTTTGGGGATACGAGGACCAGGGGATCCAGCGGCCGAGCGACTCGACTCTACTGGTGAAGTGGAACCCGATGTCAATGGAACTGTCAAGTGCGAATCGTCACGAATGATTAAAGGATTTGCGGAATGCGGCGGCACCAAAGAATGCGCCGAATTGGCGACGGACGGATCTAGATCTGAGAGATGGCGTTCAACTTATCAGCGCTGGAATGTGTGATTGACAGGACGATTGGGTATAAGGAGAGCCAGGGATGGGACGGTCACAAGTAGAACGAATCCACGAGGGAGTCACTCACCTTCCGTGTCGACACCTGCAGCAAGCACTGGCTTGCTGCTCTCCTTATTGTCCAAAATATTGAAGCATGGAAATCAAACCACAGAGATCGGATCAACCTCGCAGAATGACCTGTGATCGGCACAGAAGGAGGGGAGGGGGGGAAGAGACAAGATGTACCGCGACTCAGGGAAGTATAACGTGTTTTAGGGGCGGGTTGCGGGACGGTTCTTCAGGGGTGCGTGGTGGTGTAGGCCGAGATAATCCAACCCAACACGGGAGAGTGAGCAAATGGTTTTCGATAAGGGAGAGATCACAGATACCCAAGGTATGCGAAAAACTTGGACATGGCGCATACGCGGAGGACAGCTGGATCGAGGTTAGACGAACAGAGAGGAGAGCGAGCGAAAAGTCGGGGCTAAGGGGAGAAAAAAGATGGAGAGTGATGGTCAGTTCTTTTTCTTTTCTTTTCTTTTTTTTTTTTTTTTATTTTTCACACTTTTCCCACTCTATCCG